ATATATCCAAAATAATCTATTTCGAATCGAATCGAATTGGTAATCGAATGGAATTGCAAGCTTGTGAATGAGAATCGAATCGAATCGTGAAATTTGTGTAAAAACCCAGCCCTACTTGCAAGTGTTCACAGCAAAGGAATTTTCAGACGAGCACCTGACATTTTCAGCTGGCTACAAATGCTTTGGTGGACACACGGCATAAGGAGCCAGCTTTCACCTGATCATGTTGATGTACATGTGTTTTTTTTCCCAACATGAACATGTGAAACAATGCAAACACAATAACCATATGCCAACTCGAGTGTATAAGTACATGCTTTATAGCCATTTTTTTCATTTACTTTGCACTGTGCGGTGAATGCTTTTTTTTTCTGTACATTTTTTTTGTTTGCACACATTATTTAATGTTTTCAAATGGGAAAAAAACAGGATATGATCTATAAGCTTGTTGTGAATATAGCCTGATAAGATTGTTCAGAAATGGTGACAAAAATAGTGTTTGATAAAACAATTAAATAAAAAAAACATCTTTCTCATGAAACGTCATTTACATAAACAAATGTTTGAATTAGTTTTTTTTATGGGCTCAAATATTCAAATGCAATATTTTTAAAAAATGCCCATCCCTAGTTATTTAGTTTTTTATTATCAATAAAAATTAGCTGTTTTATTTATTTGTGTTATTTCAATACTTCATTAAAATAGTTAATAGTTATAGTTAAATAGTTCCAATAGTTTTTGCTATGTTACCATGAAGTTATGTTATTTTTGCTTAAGTATATGTTAGAGCCATAACCGAGATTTGCCGTGTGTGCATTCATAGAGCTGCTGGTCATGCGTGGTTGAGTTTGATAATTACAACAGCACCTGATCACACTCAGTTTGTCTGTACTCTCTCCACCAACCTCCATGACCACTATAGGGCCTTTCGCACCGCTTTAGTTCCAGAACTAAATGTACAGTACTAAAGTACTGGGACGATTTTACGCACCATTTAAAGGGTTGCATTCGCACAGAGAGTGTGTACTAGGAACCGGTCGACAGCAATGTCATTTGTGCGCGGCGTTCAACAATGGAAACAAAGAAAAACAACATTAACAACAGGAGGATGGAGGACGCTGTGATCGGAGCTGTGTTTTTGTTGTGTCTCGCGGATTTCACAATAATGGACATGGAATGTCGACATAAACGTAAAGCGATTGAAAGAACAGAAAGGAGGACTAAGAATCTCCAACAACAACTGGCACTGCTACATTTGCTACAAGTGCCTGCACTTCAGCGTCCGTCCATCTATCGCTGTTCTCCATACTTGCAAAATAAGTTGCCACAATGTTTACAGAATGTTTACACGGCATTTTAAATCATGGTGGGTGAGGGCGTTTTCGTACGCTTTTGGCCAATCAATGTCTACTTACGTCACGATTAGTACCAGTTGTGCTGGTTAGACCCTGTAGGAGCTAATTTGGTTCTCGAAAAAGGCAGTCCGGTACTAAAATCGCTCCCAGTTCCAGCGGTGCGAAAATGCCAAAAAGTGGGTAGTTCCACAATTAGTTCTGGTACTATGAAAAGTTTCCTGCGGTGCGAAAGGCCCTTATCACAGTGACAGGGCAACAGTCAACACCACAGTCCGGGTCACAGGGTAACCCACTCCACTGGCTCGTCTCTAATCATCTGTGGAGGGGGGAAAAATAATTTTGCTTCTAGTGCATGGGTGAATATTATTCATACTTCACATTATGCTGTTTTTCCAGATAGTGTAATTTACATTTGAATATAACTCAACTGCAGTAAGTTTATTCAACTATTAGATCTACAAACTAAACCTGCATTTTCTGAGGCCGTTCTGAGACCACTGAAAGCAAACCCAAAGTCCCTTTAAGGCAAGACATTTCACCCGGCTGCCATTTTTTAAATGGCTCTCGGACAGTCATGCAAGTACAGCTCCTATTTCATTTAATGGGGAAAATTCTCCAAAGTTGTTCACCAAGCTTACGTTAAATATTTGAAATCACAAGAATTAAAATATAAATATAAGAATCTCAAAAATTCTGTTTCTTATGCTCAAATAGCGTTAAAAAGGTGTATTTTTTTTTAATTGGAAGTGAAGCAGTCAGTCAAGTTTACATTATTTAGTAAACTGATTTCCACTTTAATTAAAAAAGATATAACAAACACGATTAATGTAACCATTTTAAAGAAAAAAGGATGTTTTGTTATAGCTTTTGGAGCAAGGACGCCGCCATCTTGCAGTACCACAGTGTGTGACGTCACGGGGTTGGTTCACTCCGTTGGCCATGCAGTGAAGTAATACAAGCATTTCTTTACTTTTTGAACAACACGTTTGTTTTGAAATTGAGGAAGACAAACTTGAAGGACTGTCAAGCCCATAATAAGTGCAATTGCTTATGCATTTGAGCCGATACAGCAAGGGGAACGAGCAGTACCACTTTTACGGATGGAAGAAGACATGAACCCGCTGGTTTGGTGTGAAGTGCGGGTCGGAAACCGTACCTGTTTACGTGGAGACTCATCAAGACAGCCATTCTGACATAATTTTGTGTGCATTTGCTCAAGAAGACATGAAAGAAAACTCAAATTGGAACTCGCATATGCTGTCCGAGCTGCAGCTTTTTGCGTGCGTTTGTGCGCACAGAAACGGTCCATCACAGCGCCCGAGTACCGCATTGAAATCTCTTTAGCACTGTCTTGCGCTTGAATGGCTTAAAACAGTTTAATGTTCAAGCTGACAGGGCTTAAAATAATGATAAACTTTAAAAGAATAATGTTAGAATGATAAACTTGAGGAAGCCGATCGTTCAGATGGGTGATTAGTTAAACACTGGAGCGTCCTGTTAACAGCAGGTAAGCATATTGTATTCGCAGGTGAACATAAAATATCTTGCATACCACTACTGGGGAACGAGCCAGTGTAATGCAAATATGTCTGAAAGGTCTGCCATATCAATAAAGATGCCCCATGAATGATATTATATGAAGCGTTGTTTGTTTACATCACGTTGAACTTCGTGTTATAAAAACAATGTTTGGGATACCACGATCAGTACTTCGTGATTTAGACAGTTTAGTGTTGGATATTCATGCAATTATGGTGAAAACCAAACACGTGTGCATTAAAATAACATTTGTTATGCTGACTGTTTCTATAGCAACCAGAGCTTGAAGTGAAAGTGACGTGACGTGTGGCCAAGTATGGTGTTGTGCTCTGTATTTTTCCCATCCAAGTGCACACACACAGCAGTGAGTAGTGAACAAACACACACACACTCACACTCACCATGAACACACACCCGGAGCAGTGGGCAGCCATTTCTGCTGTGGTGGGGACCAATTGGGAGTTCGTTGCCTTGCTCAAGGGCACCTTGGTTGTGGGTAATGAGGGTACTGAGACTCAAACCTGTGACCTTCGGGTTACAAGTCAGACTCTCAAACCATTAGGCCACAACTGCCCCCAACTGCTTGTAACGACAGCTGCAGTGACGTGAAGACTTTAGCAATTAACGATTGACTTTTTTTATACAGAAGTATAACTATTCCGCCATTTGGCACATTGCACTTTCTCCTGTTCATAACTAAAATGAGGGCACTGTCTTTGTTTATCTAAATCTTTGGCAAACATGTGAAGTGTCCACATTTTTTGTAATGAACAAGCACTGGCCCATATTGCCGTAATGTGTAAATGTGACATTAAGACATATGCTCAGTAATATTTTTGTATAATATTTTAATATTCACTATAATAGTAATACGATCTTTGTGTAAACTGTAAAGAATTATACTGCAATAGGGTATTGTGGCAGCCCTACTGCACAGTAATGAAATGCCCTGCATTATCTTCCTCTTTTGTCATGGGCTTTTGTTAAATATTAATACATGTGATTTAGTATCATAATAATTTGTGTGAAATATTAATGGGAAATGTGATGTATTCAGTTAAGGATAGCTGAGCACTTGCTTCCCTGTGCAAGGTTACCAGGAAGCTGATTTTAATCTATTTCCATGAGTTCTGCATTTACATGTAAGTTTGAATGATGCAAATCATTGTCTGGCCTTCATCCTATTAGAAGTCCCTGCAAGCCTTGGATTTGGTTAAGGACAGAGCTGCATAGGAATCCCCCTGCCAGTCTCAAGGCCTCAAATGTCATTACCAAGCATGTTCTGATTATTATTTTCTAATTATAATCATTCAGCCATTTTAAACACTAATAAGAGCACCAACGCACACATGCAATACTGCTCTTACGAAAATTAGCCGCGATTTTACCTAAAATAAAACCAAAAAAATGCATTTGTAGTTAAACCATAGTAACCACCAGTTAACCCGGATTTTTCTACAGTAACCATAGTTTAACCATGGCATTTGTAGTAAAATTGTGGTTATACAAATGGTAATACTCAAAAAAGACATTGCTACTACACTTTTACTATAGTAAAACCATGGTTAATTTTCGTAAGGGTGTTTATCAGTCAAATTAATTTAAAACTGTAAATTTAACAGGTATGAAATATGATCAGCAAGAGAAAAATACCGTTAATGAGAAGACAAGCGTTGGACTGCGGCAGGGTAGTTGGGAAATATATTTATTTATTATTTTGAATGCACATTTGGAAGGGAAATATATGTATAGGAACATTTCAGCTGGTTGAAGATAATTCATGTTAACGCAGAGAATAGGATTAATTGTTTAAAAAAAATTGCTAGCCCTAAAACGTAGTAATAATCTGCATTGTCATGAGATACTGTCTGTTTGTAGGTGCGCTAAACGCTGACTGGAAACTCCCGAGCTGTATTAAGTAGAATGTGGAAGCAGTTGTGCAAGTAGTCCATCGCGGTATTACTGTAAATTGCTATGCATGTCATTTATGTCTTAACATGATTGTTGTCAGGATCATCAGTCACCTTGTCTCTTACCTCTGCACACTACATATCCCACAATGCCCCTTGGCTTTCACCTGCACACACTTCACACCTGTGTCATCACCACACCTGTCTGCCATCATCCTCGTCAACTCTCCATTAAAGCCAGCACCCAGGCCTTGTCTGGTCTCGTCTATGGCTAAAGGTGCGTTCACGCCATATCCAGACCTGCCAACCTGTACGCATTTTGCGTAGCGGGGACGCATTTTGACCTTAAAGTACGCTGGTACGATTTGTCACTCTGTCCACGCGCAGTAAACAAGCAACAGAAATATATGAGGAGTTCAACCAATCAGAGCGTTTTCCGTGTTTTTCTTATTTCTCTCCAAACTGTCTCTGTTTGTGTGTCCGTGAGTCATGCGCTGAGATGAGGAAACACGTGTATGGTATTTCCTGGAGTCGTGAGCTCTATTTCTTCGGTGATGCATATGTGAACTTTCTGCGCAGGGGCGCCCTCTAGTATCCAGTATGAATGAAACGGACATTACATGTGTTCATAGCACTAAATAATGGACAATCTATAAAAATAATACTTCTCTCAAAATAAGTTTAAGGTAGACATGTGATAATCCATGTTTTTCTACAGTGTACAACAATGTACTGGAGTTAGTTTTTTTAAAATAGCATTTAAAATCGCTAAAAAGAACTCTGTTGTGCCAAACCATCAGAACCAAACTGAAAACCATATTTAAAACACGTGTATGGTATTTCCTGGAGTCGTGAGCTCTATTTCTTCGGTGATGCATATGTGAACTTTCTGCGCAGGGGCGCCCTCTAGTATCCAGTATGAATGAAACAGACATTACATGTGTTCATAGCACTAAATAATGGACAATCTATAAAAATAATACTTTTCTCAAAATAAGTTTAAGGTAGACATGTGATAATCCATGTTTTTCTACAGTGTACAACAATGTACTGGAGTTAGTTTTTTTAAATAGCATTTAAAATCGCTAAAAAGAACTCTGTTGTGCCAAACCATCAGAACCAAACTGAAAACCATATTTAAAAAAAAACTGAGGTATTTATTGAACTTGGGCTAACTGTATTGTTGCATTCCTACTGTTTACTCTAAAATACTGTATAACAGGAATATCACAAACTGAGTGCAGACTCTGAGTACTAACTTATGACAAATATTTAACATGAAGTCTAGTGTAGCGAATCAGCTCAAAGGGGAAATAGGAATAATTAATCATAACTAGTTATAATTAATTTAGATCCGCTGTAAGTATTTACTTGACCTCTCAGGGTCAACTGTCTGTCAATTCTAAGAATGTTAATTTCCTGGTTAAGGGAAATAACTTTCTTACTGTACAATACTACACAGAGCATGTAG